CTACGGTCCCTTTTTTAAGAGTTCAATGACTGCTTGTGTTTGCGCTTGCTGTCTGTTCAGCATCATTTGCATCATATGCATAAACTGCTGTTGCTGCTGTTGCTGTTGCTGCACTTGTAACTGTTGCTGGTCCCGCAGCTGAGTGAACAATGCTTGCTGGGTAGCAGCTGTAGCTTCGTCTTGCCTCCTCTTCATGTCCAGCTCATCTTGCCTTAACTGAGAGTCCCTCTCCGCTGCCTCCCTTAGATAGTCAAGGGTGTCACCACTTTTTTGGCGCTTTTTTCGTGGTTCATCTTTGCCATTTCTCTTCTTAGTCTGAGCTAGCCTCTCCATGGCTCTCTCCCTCATCTCCTCGCCTGCTGCTTTATCTTGATCTGCCTTGTTTCGATCCACATCAGTGCGGGATTCCTTGGTCTTCTCTTCCTCCTCTCTTCTCTCCATATAGTCTTCCATTATTTGATCTATTTCTCGGTATTCGGGGGAAATTCCCGAGCCCCTCTCGGCCTCTCTCTTCCTGGCCTTGGAATCCCTTTCCAGGATTTTCAAACGGTCCCTCAAACCCTTTTGCGAAACGCAAAATTGGGGCTCTTTGATGTTATTCAGAATTTTGCATATTTCGTCTAAACAGTTTCCCCGCTCTCTGGTGCCTGAACAGTACTTCCAAAGTTCCAAACTAAGGAGTTCGCGACCAAATATAGTGTCATGTTGAAGTGACCACTTCATTTTCGGCATTCTGTGAAAAAAATTATAAAAATATATAAATATAATTTACTGAACAGTTAAATCGCTATTTTACTAAGCTAACTGTTAAAGTAACGTTTCTCCGCTAGCTATTTTATCCATGAGATCACACTCGCTGGTTGATTGTCTTACAAGCTTAAGAAAATAACACAATAGAAAATGAAAAACAACAAAATCAGTTCGCACAGCGAGCAGAAAAGCAAACACAGCTGTAAGCCAAGGAAAGTTTGCGTGTTTCTACAACACCAAGCTAGCTATAAGATCCCTCTTAACAAGAGAAAAGGAGTAAAAATAAACTTTTCATTGACTTTAAAATTGTTTTCAAAGCTGGCAGGGTAAGAAATTTTTTTTTTGTTCAGCGAAGTACGTAAACTTACCAGCTATTAGCCAACTCGGCTCTGTTTCTTACTGTTGATGTGACAACTCAAAAAAAAAAAGATACGCGACTTTTCGGTCCTTTCAAATTTAATGAGCACCAGAAAATGTCTTATACTTTAGTGCAGTGTGATTAAAAAGAAAGATGTCCATACAGCATTCAACTTTTCATTCATACCTTTTCGTGCCTTCGCCAGCGCTTTCATGAGTTGCCATGGCTGTAGAAGGTAGAATTGAATGAAAACAGACAAAAAAAGTCAAAGACATTCGTGAAGAACATGTTACTAATATAATAATTTGATTTTTCTGGCAAAAACACGTGAATTATCGCTAGAAAACTTTGAAAACTAACCTCACGTCCTGCTTTCTTTAAGACGCTGGCAAATGGCTCTTACCAACGTCGTTGACTTTTACTCGACGCCGGCAAGTGCCAAGATAGGTATGCGCAGTAGGTATGTCACGCAATCCAACGGCGTCGTGCGAAAGTCGTCGATTCGTAAGCTCCCTATTGTAATAATATGACGAAGTAGCAACTTTCTGTAATGGACTTTAAAGTTCTGGATTATTCCGAGATCTAAAGGTTGCAGCTTGGACGTGCAGTTTACAGGAAAAAACTTAAGTTTAATATTGGAATAGCGTCCCTTGAGATCATACGGGTGACATCCAGCAGAGTCAATGAATAAAAGTATTGATCGATTCTGGGCCTTGAAAGAGCTGTTTAACTGGCTGAGGAGCTTGTGAAGGATATCAGATGTCATCCAAGCCTTTTGTTGATTCAAATACTGACAAGGAATATCATCTTTGTTTATATTCTTCAGGCACCTTGGATTCGCATACTTTCCAATTACAACTGGTTTTCTCCTTTCCCCAGTAGCAGAAATGAAGAAAGCAACAGTTAACCGCTCTTTTGACTTCTTGCCTCCTTTGCATTTCTTTGCTTTCTCCGAAAGGCTCTTATCCGGAAGTGCGCGGTAAAAGCAGCCAGTTTCATCCATGTTCCAGATGTCTTGCATTGCATATCCAGAGATAATAGACCCAAGACGCTCTTTCCAAGACTACACTTTAGCCTCTGGCACATCAGATTCACCACAGAGTTTGTGTTGCAAAAGGTTGTTGCGCTCTTTAAATCTCGTAAGACAGCCGCTTGACACCTTGAACTCAGGGTAGCCAAGTTTCTCTGCTGCTTTCATTGCAAACTCCTGGATAACAGGACCATCGACTGGAGTGCATTGTTCGGTTTTCTTCTTGAACCATTCCCATACAGCATCATTCACGTCCGAGTATTGTGAAGTACGGTTACGCTTCTTCATACTGGAAAATCCTCTTTCGTACTCCTCTCTGACAAGAGTCTTCTGTTTCAGAATGTTACTTACTTGTGTTTTTCCACAACTGAATTTCTCAGCAAGTTTGCGTACTCCTGTCAATCCTTTGCTATTTTCGTATTCTTCTACGATTTGAAAACGTTTTTCTAAAGGTAATTCGTTCCTTGCTTTCCGCTTTGTTTTATCTTTTGGCATGATTCAATGGTGTCTCCAACAGAACACAGCCTGGTCAACACATGCTTGCTGCAAAAGACAACGTGTAAACTTGACATGTACCAGATGTATCAGTTACAATTACACAAAAGATTTTACATACAGTATGCATTTTAGTCACATGTTTTATATATTTCACACGCACAAGCTTTCTGTGTGGTCACGCTAGAGATCAAAGATCGCCGTGGTTCTGTCAAGAGCAAACCAAACTCATTTTGTGCTATTTTTATTTACTGTACCGGTTATGGCCAGTCCTCAGATTGGAAGAGTTGAAAGCAGAGTACTACTCGTGGATGCAAGACCACCATGTTTACAAGGACATTTTCGAACCTGTTACTGGAATTGTTTACATTTAACCACAGACCACGAGTTTGGACACAAGGAGTTTATTGTCAATGAACCGAAACTGAGATGCAAGAACTAAAGGACAATACAACTCCAACACCCAAACCCAAACGAGAAGGTGGTCTGTGGTTAAAGGAAGGATGAGAGGAAAAATAAAAAATCGTGTGACATATATAGTGAAAGAAAGACGAAAGAATTTGACTAAGACTAACATTACGCTGAAGACAATTGATTAATTTTAGCGGCCATAGAATTAACCGCCCGGCGTTTCTGGGCTGGGGACATCTCTAAATAAACTAAATAAGCGTCACTGCTCCAATCGCCCTGAAACTTAATATGTTCTGTGGGAACATTGCATTCAAAAGCGAACGTGGCACCGCCTCGCCAAAAACTATGGGGCGAATAAGCTCGTGGATCTAAACCTAACGCTGCAACCACCCGTGCTAAAAAACTGGAAAAATGACGAAAAGTAAGAGGGCACGTAATGTGATCGGCACTTGACAAAACGGAAAAAAGTGGATCGGATGGACTAACTGCGTTGAGACGAAGATGATGTTGAAGAGCGGCAACGGGACAAAGCGGAGAACCTGGGATACTAGGGAGTGGAACGCATAAGGCCCGCTGAAAAAACTGAATGGTCTTAGTCGCGTGAATGTTGAGAAAAGCCCCGTGCTGTGACATGTGAAAATCCGAACGCCGTGGGACTTAAGGGGAATTAACACGTGCCGATGGAACAACCAGATTAGACTTTCGTAAAAAAGAAAAGAATGTTACTAGAAACAAAGCCCACATGGCTGCCTGAAGTGCCTGAGTGGCGTCGAACAGAGAAACCATACGCGAAACATTACAACTTCACGTCGATTTAAGTGTGTATTTCAGAAATGGGCATAACCGCTGGATTTTGTACCCTGAGGGCTCAGTTTATTCCTCCGGACTTTCCCTTCGAGAGTGCTCGTTTTGACTCGGTTCAAAGAAGGTGAGATTTTATGGCGGAAGACTCATAAGCGAATTCAAAGGAATTGAACAATGGCTTAATTAAGCTGCCCAGGGCCACAAAGTTTTAAAGGTATCCTTTTGTTCTAAATGTGTCAATAAAACTGCAGAGAATTATCGCACATATCGCGGTAGAAGTTTATGGATTTAAGAGGCAGTCTCCCTAAAAGCGTTCCACTCGATTTTGGACTCGAAAAAACTTTTGCCTCATAATTTTACCATCAACACTACTATCCATCCTGATAACGAAATTGCAGTTAGAATGAGGAAATTGTTTATTTTACTGCCATTCCCAGCATTTCATTGCTGGACGACCGTTAGCGGCTAAAATATACAAATTTTAGTCTCTGCTATACAGGTTTTTTAACGATCGTTCTAAAGTTCTTCGGGTCATCAAATCTTAGACTATTGCACTCTTTTGGAAGCATATTACTTCTTCTTACTGTTCCAATACCGTTTAGGCGTTATCTTTCTGTAATCAGCAAAAACTGGTCGTCTTTATTTCGCTAATCCAATTAAGAAAGCAAACTGCACGAGAAAATGCCTCAAAAACATCTCAAAATTCTCAAAAGTGGCGCCTAAACTAGACCTAAAAACATGGTTTAGTTAAAGATTAATAGCTATTTTGTCAAGTTATGCAATAAAACTTGTGGCACAACGCGATTCAGAATTGAAGGTTTCAACTCAAATTTAGGCAAATGTTCAATTTGCGTTGCGTGACGATACCGGCTGCTGTCACAACAAAATCCTCAGTTATTCAAATACTTGCCACTTTTAAGTAAGATATGCCTCATTTTCCCACCAAAACTATATTAAAATTCCGTTTTTCCCTTTGCCAATGATACATATTGTTCAAAAATTAGTTCAGCAAGTAAAAGATACCTTTCCAAGCTTCATTTAGTATTCCCACTGCCCAGAACATTCGTGTTAAGTCTGTTGTGTCAAGACGGAAAAATACCTTTTCAGAACCAAACCTCTTCTAGCTTAAAAAGTGGTCCAGTCTGAAAAAGCTGCATTGACCAGAAGTTACTCTGATCCATCATATTATAAAATCGAACGTTAGAAGAAAAGTAAATTTCCCACTGCTTAATTAAATATGCGTGAACAGGTCAGAAAATGTTTGACTTGTACTTCGCCCCACGTAAGGGTATCCGGATTCCGGAAACTGGAAAATTTTTGCTTGTAGGATCCGGAATCCGGGAAAATTTTGATATGAAATCCGGAATCCAGGGCTTTGGAATCCAGAATAGAGCTCAAGCACCCTACTAAGGAATGAAATTCCACCGGAAAAGACTGGAATCCAGCACCTGGGATCCAGAATCCACGACTGTCTTGTATTCGCTAACATGGGGCGATAGTACTGGACTGTGAACGACGACTTACAATTTTCCCTTTATTTACCTTCCACTGATCAGGAGCCCATATTTGAAGACTTTGTTAATGAAATTTCAATTAGTAGGTTTCTTCCATTTCCTGACTGTTTCTTCCTATTAACAGTGGTCAGCGTTTGTTTTCACGCTCCAAGAGACAGTCTGGAGTCTAAAGCTACTTTTGTATCGCAGCCAGTTAATAAAGAAGTTGGCACACGCAAATAATAAAGTTTCAACATTAATTTCGAATCGTGCAACATCAGTGAAAGTAACAAGAAAATAAAGTGTGGAAGTTCACGCGTTTTTCCCAACTGATAAAAGTACACGATTGTCAGGACACCATTACTTCTTACCATGAAACCTGTCATCCATCGAAGTCTGAACTAAGTGAAGCCGACCCAATACTCTCAAAAGATGGTAATCATTAACCTTACGAAAAATCAAGTGGAACAGATGGTGATCTGCTTCCCCAGGAGGACTCCCATGCAAAAGTGACGTGGGTGCTCGTCGTTTGCAGAGTTTGGTCTCACTTCGGTTGTTTGGGACGGAAAGTACCTAAATATGCTCATCCAGGTATCGCTTAAGGCTGTGCATAAAGAAATTTGCCAAAAAAAACGCGGTGACGCTGACCTCACAGAAATCTCCTTTAGGGGTCAGTTTAAGCTTGAGCCACACCCACATTGGCCTCCCTTTGGGGTTTAAATAATAAACTATTAATTTTCCGACGAGCAGCCTTTCACTTTTATATGAAAGTCCTCCCGGGGATTACCCACAAATATCGGCATATAAACTCGGACGATTTTGGCGGACACCTCGTATAGAGGACCAAGAAAGGAATATTAGGACCAAGGACAAGCATGTAATTGGTGTGGAGATTGCTAAGATCGTATACCATCTATTTTAAAGGATGGGATCACGTACGTATAAAATCATAAAATCATTGCTAATATCCTTATCATTAGTTCCTTTATCTGTGATAAGATAACGACAAAAGGGCCAATGGGTATTGTCATAATCGTAACTTCAAGTTCAGACAATGATAAACTCAGTAGTGAGTGATGAAGTTATGGAGAAAAGTAGGAAGTGGCTTTAAGTCAAATATCCTGATATTAATCAGTGTTGCAGTATGGCATAAAGTTACACCGTCAGCTGATGCACTTGCACATTTGATATCATTTATTTATGAGCTGACGGATTTGAATATCAC